CCTGTGGTGCGACAGTCAAAGTGCGATTCACTTGGCGAAGAATCAAGTTCACCATGCTCGTACTAAGCATATCGACGTCAGGTATCATTTTGTGCGGGATGTCATAGAGGAAGGCGATATTTCTCTCATGAAGGTGCATACGAATGAGAATCCCGCGGATATGTTAACCAAGGTGGTCACAGGTAGCAAGTTTAAGTATTGCTTGGACTTGCTTCATATCAGCCCGTGTTGATTTGCCCAAGAGGGCATGGCCCTTCGGGGCGATGATGGAGGTGAGGTGGAGACTATGTTGGAGAATAATGGTAGAACTACGGTTAGCTTGATCCCGGTGGAGGGTACGTAGGCAGTCGCGGTATAGTGACGCAGCTGGTTTGACCTGAATATCTCTCTGGTGGAGTTCGTGTGGTTCTTCTAGTGTTCGTCCAAAATTTGAGGTTTATCAAATAATGTACGAGGTGGAGAATTGTGTACGCAGGGGACATAGAGGGGGCCCACCCACATGGGTTTTCTCGTGGGTGCCTGCCTCGTGGGTGCCTGCCCCGGTTTCGTGCGTGTGGGGATGATCACGCGGGAATTGTTCCCGCCTGAGCTCGTGTTCGAGCGCGGGAAATTGTTCCCGCCGTCTTTTCCTCTCCCGCGCGCTTGTTTAGCCCGCCCAAAAAAATATTCAGCCTCTACCCCTTGCTCTCTCCTATAAATAGAGGAGGGGTGGAAGAGTTTAGTGTGTGGGAAAATTGTGGTAAAAACAATTAGGGTTGTGTGAGTTTTCTTTGAGAGAAAAGAAAGAGTGAGTGAGAGAGAATTTGTAAAGTTTGGTATTCTCCTCATAGTGAAACCCCCCTCCCGTGGACGTAGGCTAGTTAGCCGAACCACGTAAAATCTCGTGTATTTACTGTTTTCTGGGTTGTTGGCTATTGCTTGTAGGATCCCTCAAAATTCGGTCTTGCGCTGATGAGAGGAAGAGTGGATATCTCACTTCGCTGAGATATTTCGCTACTGAGTCTGAGTTTCCTTCGCGAAACACAGATATCGAGGTTGACTTGTGCTTTTGTGACAACAAAGGCCAGGGCTCTCTCTCAGGACATATCGCTTCCGCGGCGGTGGGCGTGACTCTGCGCCCAACAAATAGGTATTTTCATTTTGATAGCCATGTTATTGCGGAAATATGATGTTTTATAATCTTATTTCATTGAAACAAAGGAAGATACATGTAAAACGACATCAAAACCTTTATCCCAAAGATAGATATACGTAGTTCCTGACAAATTGTTGACTTCCCATTAGCGCACAAATGGGTGAGCGAACAATTATATTATATGAACAAGCCCTAAGAGCGTAATTGGGCTGCATATAATATTATTTCTCAATTTTTAGTTTGAGTATGTTTATTGAAGCTTACCTGCTGGAAAAAATAAATGCAGAGAACAAGAATCAGAATGTATGCAGAACTCATGCCCCTGATGAGATTTTCCACTATTGCAAAGAAAAAATTTCTCCATTGAGTTGGGGATGATTCAAACCTAATGACAACCTGTCAAATGAACCCTCCTGCGGAATGTGCTCTCCGGATCTTGTGTTGAAAGAATGCAAGAAGAAATCACAGCAAATAAAAATTACGGGAAAGAATAAGCAAAGAGAGAACACCAAATTTTTTAACAAAGTTCGGCAACGTGCCTACGTCCTCGAGAGCCACACAATAAATTTCCTTTGAGTATTAAAGAAGATCACAAAGCTTGTAAAGAGATGATCTCAAACTCCTTGAGATCTCTCAAAACTTTACTGTAGAAAATCGCTACAGGAATCACGAGATTATTCTTTTGAAAAATCTCCGCTCAAAAGTCGCTACAGGAGCTTCTAAAAAAATCACCGCCGCTAGGCTTCTGCAATAAATCGCTTGAGAAGAAAACTCAATGTTTTCTCGTGGTCAGGGTTCCCTATTTATAGGGAAACCCTAGGGCAAAGACAGACTCTGCGAGTTCGCCTGCGAGCTCGCCAGACTACGAGTTCGCCTAACTAACTTATGTTCGCCAGAACATAGTCAAGCTTGCTTGACCTGCTTCGCTTGAGCACTCAGAGTCCGCCTGCACTTAGAGTTCGCCTGAACTTCCAAGTTCGGCCGAGCTTGTGAAGTCCGCCTGAAACTCAAGTTCGCCTGTTTTCTTCACTTAGCGAATTTTCTGATTTGCGTGCTTATCCTAAAGGTTTGGGTCTACACCCCAAAACTAACAATCTCCCACTTGGAGATCAAACCGTCATCAGCAAGCTCTCTTAAGCACCTTCTCCTACCTAGAGAATTTCTTTCTTCACTTTAATATCTTTCTCATAAGATGGTTCCACCCTCATCTCTTACACATGAAGGCCAACTGAAGTTGTGCACAACTCTAGTTTCTGAATGGTCACTGTCTTTGTCAATATATCTGCAGGATTTTGGCTCCCCAAAGTCTTCTCTAACTATAACTTTCCATCTTCTATCATCGAGCATATTAAGTGGTACGTACATCGACGTGCTTCGTTCTGGCATGAAATATTGGGTTTTGGCAAGGTGTATAGCAGTCTGACTATCACAATAAACAACTCTGTCCTCCGCTTCAAACCCAACTCTTTCAGACATCCGGTTAACCAAATTATTTCCTTGCTCGCTTCAGTTACTGTGATATACTCTCTGCCTCAGTTATGGACAAAGTCACAATCATCTGCAAACGTGATACCTAGCTCACTGCTGTCGATCCAAAGGTATAAACATACCCCATGATGTTTCGCCTTGTATCATGATCACCAGCGAAATCTGTATCTATGTATCCTTACAGTACCAATTCCTTTCTTCCAAAATACAGTGGTATATCTGTAGTCTCTCTCAGGTATTACAATATCCACTTCACCGCCTTTCAATGCTACTTCCATGGGTTGCTTGCAAACCTGCTCATAACTCCCACTGTATGGGCAATATTTGGCATGTGCAAGCCATTACATACATCAGGCTACCAATGGCTAATGAATATGACCCCTTTCTCATCTGCTCCTTCTCTGCATCAGTCTTGGGTGATTGCTCTTCAGATAACCTGAATTAAATTCTGAGGGGCGTGCTAACAAACTTAGCATTCTGCATGTTGAATATTTGAAGTATCTTCTCAATGTATTTAGCCTGACTCAACTTCAACATCCCTTTAGTCACATTCCGACTAATTCGCATCCCAAGGATCTGCTTCGTTGCACCCAGATCCTTTATAGCAAACTTCTTTGCCAATTGCTTTTTCAACTTGTTTATTCCCTATAAACACGATTCTACAACTAACATGTCATTTACGTACAACAATAACACGATATAGCTGGACTCGAACCTCTTGGAGTAGCAACAATGAACTGAATTGCATCTGCCATAGCCATTGCTTTGCATAAAGTTATCAAACTTCTTGTACTATTGTCTTGGAGCTTGTTTCAAACCGTATAAGCTCTTTTTGAGCCTACACACCATCTCTTCCTTTCCTTCCTCAATAAAGCTAACATGTTGTTTTATGTAGATTTTTTCATTCAAGTCACCATGAAAAAAGATAGTTTTTATATCTAACTGCTCAAGGTAGAGATTTTTAATAGCTACCAGGCTCAACACCATTCTGATGGTTGTGAACTTTATAACGGGGAAAAATATCTCAGTATAATTCACTCCTTTTCGCTGTTGGAATCCCTTCACGTATAATCAGGCCTTATACATCTTCCTTCCATCACTTTCCTGCTTGACTCGGTAAACCCATTTGTTATGCAAGACTTTCTTCTATGCAGGTAGCTGGACTAACTCTCATGTCTCGTTCGAGTAAAGAGAATTCATTTTTTCTTGCATCGCATACTCCCACTGCTAAGATTTACTAACTTGTATAGCCTCCTCATAGCATTTCGGTTCTTCGCTATGTGTTAAAAGTAAGTAATTAAGTGAAGAAAGATATCTAAGATTCGGTTTGGGTACTCTGAATGACCTCCTAAGCTTCTCGCCCTGGGTAGTCATCTCTGCACCTAGAGTCTCCTCTGTTATTCGGTCATAACTGACACTGTTTTCTCCCATCTGAAAGTTCTTCCAAATCCATGTACTTGGATCCACCTGCATCTGTAGTGCTTCTTCCCTGCTTTGACTATCCTTAGCATTGTTCCTGTCCTTGTACATCACATCTTTATTGAATATGATGTCTCGGCTCCTGATGATTATTTTGTTCTTCTCATCCTATAGACGATACATGAACTCATCGATGCTGTATCCAATGAATGTACATTTTTGTGACTTAGCTTCTAGCTTGTCCCTAATATGGTCACTGATATGAACATATGTCATGCAACCAAAGACTCTCAAGTATGAGAGATTAACCTTCTTGCCGCTCCAAACCTCTTCTAGAATCCTAAAGTTCAATGGAACTGATGGTCTATGATTAATCAAGTACGCTGCTATATGCACCTCGTCTGCCCAAAACGTTTTAGGTAGACCTGCATATAGACGCATGCTCCTTACACGCTCTGTCAGCGTTCTATGTATTCTCTCTGCAACTCCATTCTGTTGCGGTGTCCCTGGAGTAGTTCTCTCCTTACACGCTCTGACCGAAAGGTCTTATAGATCGATGAGATCTTTACAATACTTGGTTGATACACACCACTGTATTGTACTGATGTTCCTGGAAGCAGTTTGGCCTTGGGATCATCGTACCGGAGTAAGCCAAATATTGCTTTAAGCATAGTGTTTTATAAACGCACAGCTGTTAACTTGTAAAAAGTTTAAAATTATAGCACATCAATTTTCTCTGTTTAATTCCAGATTGTAACAAATACTCCAACATGTGTTAGTATAGCAAGTAATATTTTATGGAAAAGAACACTAATGTCTCAAGATAAATGTGATTTGACGAAGCAAAAAATACAAGAAGATTACCCAAATAAAGCAATTACTTTGCACCCAAACTTACCATTTACTTTCATAAACTAGCTGTTGCAAACATTTTGGCGCATGTTTTTTGGTACTTGTACAAACATATATTACATAAAATGAGGAAAAAAAATTCATATAAATGAAATAGAGAAACTGATCCAGTATTATAGCCATCAACAACTTCAGTCAAGTACTCAACAAGATAAATGTTTTTTGGACACACATTTCAGTACATTACAAAGTGGTATATATCCAAGCAATAATAATAGTAGGTAGTAAAATGTAGAGACAGAAGGAGAAAACAGATGCCTCCGAAGAAAGTTTTCACGTTACAGGATTGCGTTCTGATGGTAAAACCTTTGCAACTCTTTCCTCCTCTTCATCAGATTCTTTGCTTTTCCCCCACAGTACCATGTAAAGTCCCGAAATCATGGCGAAAGCTCCAATCAAGCTATAAAAATCTATTACATTGTTAATTTGATATCGTTCGCATATACAAAACATCTATAAGCAAAATAATTTTACGTTATGTAGTATGTTTTTTACTAGAATTACTAAACCATGATCAATTTATTCATGAAGAATTGGTTATTTAATTTCCTCTCTCTCTCTCTCTCTTTTCCTACATACCTGCTCAAATGAAGTCTTTCAGCGAAAAAGAAAGCAGAGAAGAGTGCTACTAGAACAAGGTTTAGTGGAGAGAACATAGCAGCAAATACTGGTCCTTTCTTGCTGATACAAAAAGTTTGCAAGTAATATGAAAGGCCAGATATCACAATTCCCTGCACAAAGCCATATCTTATTACTGAAATCTTCGAGAATTAATAAGGTTTTCTGTTAATAAATGAGAGGACAAATTAAGTTATATACCGAGTATAAGACTGTTATAAGTTGTAAGTTCCACTCTAATTTCCAAGAAGATGCATTCCTGTCAAAGATGAGGGCAGCTACTGCAGACTGAAGGGATGCGAAGAAGCCGATCAGGGTGTTCATCATTAATCTTGCTGAATAAACCTCGCAAACTTTTGCCTGCAGAAAAATCATCAAAGCTTTTTGGTTCAATCTTCGTAAGCTTTTTAACCGAAGTATGCATTGTTGAGAAAAATCATAGCAGCACATTTGAAGGAGACTAACCTGCAGAATGAACCACACACTAAATGTGGCATTGGCGATGAATATAAGAAGGGAACCTTTGATCCAATCATCTTTATAATGTTTTGATCCATGACCAGAGTTTTTTCCTTGAACTATAATCAAAGGCCTCTTAACAAATCCGGGGAGGAGAGGGCCTTGCCAAAAAGTAAATAAAAGAGCTCCAGTAATGCAAACTAAAGCTCCTATTAACTTTGCTATCCCCTTTGCACTTTTAATCTTGACCTTTTCCATCCTGGTAAGAAGAAAAATGAAAATTCTATAAATCATTCTCAATAAATTTATGTGCATACTTTTTCTTAATTTGATTAAAAGCATGTGTTTATTTTAATTATGAATAATGTGTACGAATTATCTTGATATGCTTATGTATATGAGCTCACCTAAACAAGACTGCCAGGGTAAAAGTAAGAACAGGAATTACACTGCTCAAAGCACTTGCCACAGTTGGGGGTGTATAATCAAGCCCTATATAGAATAGATTCAGATGTATTGTTGCTCCAAACAACGTGAGGACGAAGATCTTCATGAGTATCGACAATGAAAGAGGTGGCCTTTGGTTCCTATATACAAGCCAACGTTTGATCAACGAAAAAGGCACAAAAGTTCAATTTCCTAAAACATCAAGGCATCAAATGAGCAAAAATAAACTTTTGTATCGATGGTCTGACCTTTCAAGAACATAGGAGAGGGGACCGAAGATCATCATAGCGATGAGATGACGATAGACGTTGAGGACAAAGCAATTGAGTCCTCGCTCTATGGCGAGCTTGCCTAATATATTTGTTCCTCCGTAAGCTAATGTGCTTACAATCATAGCCAAATAAGGTGCAATGGCTTTCATGGAGCTCATCGAACCTGTGTTTGAACGAAGTTACGTCTTCAGTTATTGTTGTATATTAATGATCTTATATAGGTACTAGATGGAATGCACATGTAATGCACATGGTCAAATATTATAGTTGTTGATTTTTAGTTTATGTATTTACTATAACATAGTTGCAAAAAAGTTTATGATTATTATAATATATTAAAAAGTTTCAGATATTTTTTCAATATATAAAATCTTGTTGGTTTCAACACTTTACCTTCCATATAATTAGTGAGGTTTAAAGTCTTAAAATATTAATGATCTAAGAGCAATTTAATGATTTGGAATTCTAATTTTAAAATATTAATGTTGTAAGCACCAATATCTAAAACACTATTATTATTATTAATGAAAAAATAAATCTTGAATTCATAATGGTAGGCTTATCCGATCATAGAGAATTTTGTTTAATTGAAGCATTCAGATTACAACACTTATTTCCTACTGTAAGTTAACAACATAAATAGAAAGCTGCAAGTTTCATGCATAAAGTGTGAAGGGAAAATAGTTGGCTTTTCCATGGATACAAGGTTCATATCTTCTTCCATTTCACATGGATATGATTCAAATTGTTTCCTTTAATAGTTTTGCTTGTTAAAAAGAGATACGTTGCGTGTGCAAGTCTGTGCGTGGGTGTTGTGTTTCTCCAATTCCTGCTCAAAGTAATTGTTTGCTATAAATTTATTATAAAATTAATGTGAAAATTCATGAGTTTTATATGCTGATAGCTTCATGAGAAAGACTATCCTTTAGTAGTTTTTCTTGTTAAAAAGACATATGTTGCATGTGCAAGTCTGTGCGTCATTGTTGTGTTTCTCCAATTCCTGCTCAAAGTAATTGTTTGATATAAATTTATTATAAAATTAATGTGGAAATTCCTGAGTTTTATATGCTGATAGCTTCATTAGAAAGACTACGGATGAGTGAGAGACCCGTACGCTTGTGCAAATTTGTTCATCTATACAAACTTCATGTCATTAATTGTCGGCTAGGACCAGGACGATGGCTTGACAAAACAAATGAAGAATTATACTCATGGATTCAATTTTTTGTCTAATAACATAAGATCCAATTTGATTAATAGAATGAGACTGATGATCAAAGTACACGTCTTCCGTACAATAATATGATGTTATCTTATGTTATTGCCTCTATTGCATTGTTCAAATTATATTGCCTCCACTCTCACATTATATTATCTCGATGAAATTAATATGTTCTATGCCAGTGATATGAATTTGATTATCTATTACTCTATTGCAACTTTATTTATTTATCTGTGTATTAGTTGTTAATGGGGTAAATGTATAATGCAAATATCAAGATATTCCTGTATCTTTACGATCAAGAACAGTTGTTAATCAAAAATTCAAATACATGTATAATAATAATAAGCATATCCAAAACATAGACTCGAAATCTCCTTTCATTTAATATAAGTACCCAAAGAAGTGATTTATAAAATCCATGGGTTTCCTTTGGTTTCAAATCTCTACTTCAAATCCAAATCTCTTCTCCCAAGCGCAGCCAAAACAAGAATGCAAGAGACATGCAAGGTTGTAAACCCAGAAGGTAAACACTAGCATAAAAGAAATATGTCAAGATAGTATAACAATCAACAAAAGGAACAATAATCATAACTTAATATTATACGATCTAAATTGGATGTTGGCATCTGAGGTTCTCTCCTCCAATAAATTGTGAAATATAAATTATAAGTTTGTATATAATTGCATGTGCAGAATCATTTTCTTGAAGTTAATTACGAGGTCGTACACACCTTGGACATGGTTGGGAGACGCAGGAAGGCCAAGAATAGTGGGACTTGAAGCAGCCATCGATCTCTTGATTATATATCTTTGATTTTCTTTGATTATTTTCTTTGGTTTTCTTTGAGAAGAGAGTCTGTTTGATTTTCTTCAACTGCTGTATTCATATAGCCTACCGCTTCTGCGCTCCAAGAAATCAGTTGGGAGTTCCGATGGTCGATATGTAATTGTGAAACCGGATATTTATAGCTCTCTAATCCTCAATTGCAGGATATGTTAGTTAAAAATTTTGAGTTCCACTGGCATTCTAGTAAATAGATAGAACTTTTAAATTAACCATAAGGGTAATTTAGGAACTAATACAAAGTGATTAAATTATAAAACAGATGCAAGATCTCTGGGATCTTTGACCACAAATTTTGAAAAATTTCTTTTATCAGAATATCAGTTTTTTCTTCCAAAATTTAGCGGCAATATTTAACACATCTGGGGTATATATACACACATCACCGGCCAGGACTACTCCTATAGTTCCTTTTTTTTCAAATTTACATTTGTAAAAAATTATATCAATCATTGTTATTTACCTTGGTAGAGTCATATAATGATGGTGTGTAATAATAAAACGTATGATAGCCTAAGGATGACAACCTTCCATTAATTACGACATGAGTATCATTATAATGGTATATGCTAAATTTTTAGGTTCCAGAAGAATTTTATATCAGCATGCATCAAAGAAATACTAAACTTGCAAGAAGTAACAAAAAAACAAAAGAAAAGAAAAGTATAGGATGCAGAAGCAGCGAAGCCTTCATTGAGTGTTCGGATTATTAACATGCAGTAGTAATTTGGTTAAAAAAGACAAACAGGAAATTGTAAACAACCTGTCATGAAATTTGTTTGCGTCGAAAATTGATGTATTCATTGCGGTATTCATTACAACTTCAATCGTTACAATGAAAACTGTATTCATTGCGGTATTCATTACAACTTCAATCGTTACAATGAAAACAAAAAAAAGATTGTCTTTTTATAAGACTTTTACACAATGAAAACAAAAGTTTACAACTCTCGTCAAAATAAACGCAGAGGACGTTTATCACCCGCTGCTTTGCGTGGGATCTTTGCATGTGCCTAGGTTTATCTGTGGACCGCCTTAGATCTGGATCCGGTTGATGAAAAATTCGGCAGAGCTTCGTCTTCACCGAGGAAGTATTTGATTTGAAGCGCTGAGATCGACCAAGCGAAATCAGGGCTCTTCTCGAGATTAAGACCAAGCCTAATCTCAAGGGACGGACGGGAACGGGCGTCGGATCTCTCGAACTCTCCTTCTTTATGCCGAGCTGAAATTCGTGCTCCTTGACTCCTCAATCCAGCAGCACCTCCACGTCTTGATAAATATTCGTCCCCTGAAAATGGAGGCCTTTGGCTCATATTTATAGGCCTCGGATGCAGTTATTTGGATGAGAACAAGTGATTTGGCTCTATCTTCAGTTAACAACAGCCTAACCACGTTTGGGGATGATATCAAGTCAGTTGGGAACCCCTGGAACAGATAAATCCTGTGAAAACAACTTTAAAACCATCAAAATACGTTTCAGGTTCCGGACTGCGCGTCGCGGGTCGGATCAGTCCGACTTCTTCCAAGACTTGTTCTTTTCGCGTGTTTGGCCGATTTGTTGACTTGTATGCTTCGCCGCGAGACCGACTGTCGAACGCGCGTTGGTTAATATACGCATGTTGATCGATGCACGCGGACTGATCGGCGTGTGCGTGTTGACCGACGCGTACGAGCTGACCGACGCGCACGAGATGATTTGACGTGCGCTGACTGATTGGCGAATTTTCTTGACTCGCCCGTTCATTGCTTCGAGTTTCGTGCGGGCTCTCATAAACAATTTTAGACGTCTACAGATACCCCCTCCAAAGTGTTTCAGCCTCATTCTTTTATAGAGGAGTCTGAAATGCTTTGGATATGATGGATCCCCACCTTCAGTCGGTGTTAAAGGACCTACAGATGGTTTCGATTCTTGACTTCTCCACATTTTAGCATATTCTGTATTTTATCGAATAGCTAAGATTTTCCCGGTACTGCGTTTATCGTATGACCGTTATTGAAGCCTTGAATCGAATTTGGTGAATAGATTTTTGCTGATGTGTCATTGAGTTGACTTTTGGATCAATCGCAACGCGTTGACCGACGTTGACTTAGGGTTTCGTGTCGATCGGCGTTGACTCTCATCGCAACGCGTTGACCATCGTTGACCTAGGGCTATGTGTTGACCGACGTTGACCTTAGGGTTTCGAATCGATCGGCGTTGACTCTCATCGCAACGCGTTGACCGGCGTTGACTGGCGTTGACCTAGGGCTACGCGTTGACCGGCGTTGACCTTAGGGTTTTGAATCGATCGCGTTGACTCTCATCGCAACGCGTCGACCGGCGTTGACCTAGGGCTGCGCGTTGACCGGCGTTGACCTTAGGGTTTCGAATTAACCTGAGGAGAACCAGTTTATACTCGTATGCTCCTGGGAGTTTTGGGAGTTAGTTTAGCCTCGTGTACTCGTCGGAGGTTGTCAGGTTATCCTTAAGAATTATTATATGTAATATTCTCCAGGAACTTCCTGTCAAAATGGAAAACAGTTTAGACTCATGTACTCATTGGAGTTTCAGGGAGCAGTTTAACTTCTTATACCGGTCGGAGGATTGAGAAGCAGTTTATACTCTTATACTTGTCGGAGTCTTTATTCGTCTCAATTGAGCGATATAACGCCGGCTTCAACCAAGGTTTGGATGCTATTTTTGAGCGCAAAGCAATCCTTGGTGGGATGAAAGATCCTCCTGTGGTACGCACAGTATTTTGGATCCGCAGTATTGTCAGCTTCCTCCTGATTTACGACAGGTGGTAGCTTGATCTTGTTGTTTTCAAGGAGGGACTCGAAAATGGCTGGAACATCTTCATCCTTGAATGAGTACTCTTTTTGGAGTCTTGAACCCGAAGTCTTCTGCTGTGTTCGGGGTTGCTGTTGCGACGTCTGATTGGCGTCAACAGCTGCTGCAGGTGTTTTCCCTTTACTACGGGAGGCGAAATTTGATTTCGGAGAGTTAGCCGTCATTTGGCTTCTTTCGGCCTTCTTCCTTCGGAGGAAGCGTTCGGCCCGCTCTCCACGCGTCTTCAACTGTTTCCAAGTGTTAGACGGTGCGACTCCCATAACTTCCAATATCTCAATAGATAGGTTGTTATGACATGTCTGGAGGATGAAGTCCTCCGTGACCGGATCTCGGCAGTTCATTGCTTTATTCCGAAAGCGCTTGACGAAGTCGTCGACTGTCTCGTCATCTTATTGCTTCTCATCGAAGAGTGTCCTGATGGATACCTCATCGTCGTCGTCAAAGAAATTGTCGAGGAATGAGCTCTCCATATCGTCCCAGTTGTTAATATTCCGGGCTTGAGACGGCGGTACCAATCGAAGGCCGGCCCGCGAAGGGTACCAACGAATGACCGAACCATCAAGGCTTCATTGCCGGAGATCATGCCCAAGTGGGACTTGAAGTAGATCAGATGTTGTGTGGGCGAATCCTTCCCGTCAAACGACGTGAAGTTAATCAGGTTGAACTTTGCCGGATACGGGATCGAGTCCCATTCTCTTGGATAGGGACATGGAATGCCGGTCCTTTTCACCTCTCGAGCAGACATTAGAGCATTGATTTTGCTCTCGAGATCTTTCATTTTCTCATCCTCGCTCATATCGGGGCTTGGACGATTCTTAAGAGGAACAACGGGGCCACCCCCGGTGTTGTCATCATTGGTGGGACCACCCCCAGCGTCATTGTTTTTAGTGGGACCACTCCCAGCGTTCTGGTCAACGGGAGGTTCATCTGCATTGATATATTCATCCACGTCTGAATCGCTAACTGCTTGGCTAACATTGTTGCGACGACCGGATTCACCTAGCTGATTCGACAAGGCTCGGATCTGTTGGTCATGCTCTTCCCTCATCCGCAACATAGCCATTTCCATTTCGAATTTAAATGTTTGATTCTGCTTGGCTAGAGCATCCTCAACCATCTTAGTTGCTTCTTCGGTGTTAATCATTAACACTTCGCGGGATTGCCCTGGGCTAGATACCGTATTGTCAGAAGCGACTGCAGAGTTAGCATCCGATGCTTCATCGTCCGAGGATAACCCTCTCTGCATTCTTTGGTAGTCCCTGCATCTAGTGGTCCCTGATCGCAACCAGGTTAGACGATGAGATATAAACGGGTCAGAGATAGAAGGTCGAATCGACTTTCCCTTATCAGCCATATTTATTGTGACTTCCGGGAGTTCGTCACCTTGAACAACCGATTGCTTTTTACGGAGACGCTTTGATTTGGACTTAGTCATTCCGTTGGAGATCCTCTCGGATATGGAGACCCTCTGCGGAGCGGTCTTGGGGCAACTGCACGCTGATAATACTGCCCTGATTAGTCCGGTGCACGGGCAGTGAGATTTGGTTTCTCGGGCATATCTCTTCCGAGACTCGTTCATACCCCCAGCCCGATAGTACAACTCATCGGTCAGATGACCAGAGCCATGACTCCCCTGGTATAACGTTGTTATCGTCAGATGAATACGTTTCTTTCAGGGGATTTGCCGCTTTATTAGCATTCTTAAGAGTCACGTGTTTAGAACTATACTTTTGGGAGCGCAGGATCTCAACAGGCTCTTGGTTTTGGATACACACCCCCAGGCGGGTAGAAATTAGAGTTTTCCCTTATGAGAAGGCTTGAAATTGTTGCGAGGGCGTGTGCGACCCCCAGCTCGACGAGTCGCTCGGGGTTCAGTCACCGGACCCAAGCGTTCTTCGATCAGAACTTTGCCTCAATCCTCGTGCAAAGGACTCAGGCGATCGACTATCCTCACCTTGAAATGGGACAAGTCCACACTGTCACGGTGCTCCGTCGGAGGTGCGGAACTCGAAGGGATCGACGAAACATGTGCATAACTTCTTCTGTCTTTACCCTGACGCGGGTCAGACTTGAGTGTCCCGCGGGTCGGAGGGTCGGATTTGGGTGACCCACAAAGTGGAGGGTCGGACCCAAGTGACCCGCGATTTGGAGGGTCGGATTTGGGCGACCTGCAGATTGACGGGTCGGATTTGAGTGACCCGCGATTTGGAGGGT